TTAGCTTAAGAGTATGGGGGTAAAGAAAGAGTCCCCACTGAATAGCTGTCATCTTGTCTAGATGGGTCTGGTGAAAAGAGATGGGGATAAGATTTGTAAGATTCAATAGTGAATAACTGTTATCATGACTAACCGCGACTGTCACAATTGTAAAGGTAGAAGTTTTGTAACAAAAAAAGGAAGTAGTTAATCTTACAGTCCAGAAACAGAGGATCCTAGGACCATCAAGAGAGGAATGCACAAGCAGAATGCGGGACCTTGTCCAGAGAAGCAGCACCAGTGATGGGGGCATGGAGAGGGGGAGTGGCTGAGGACTCTAGATTCATAGACTAAGAAGAGAAGGACTAAGAGCTGGTGGCCAGGAGCAGATGTGCAGAATGTGCCCTTTGGAGATGTAAATTATTATATATGCCTGAATGGGTTTTTTTGTTTGTGTATTTTTTAAAAAGCTAAAATGGATAGAGAAAAATACTGTTAACTGATGATACATGGATGGGATTATAATCAATGTAATGAAAAAAGATATATGATTTGTTGAATGTAAAACTGATGATATGCCCTGTATACTTTTACTCAATCCACAATAAAAACCTTAAAAATACATATATATAAACATACAAATCCCCTATCCTTTTAGGAAGTTTTTTCTTTTTCTTTTTTGCTGTTCTTTAACTTTATTATGTATACATACAAAATAAAGTTAATTAATTTATCTTTGTTGGTTTAATGAGGCATTATGATTTTATATGAAATGTGTTTGGATGGTTTAGCCTGGACTTTCTTTCTTAAGTCTCAGCATCACAAGTTAGTAAATAGCACACCTGTGTTTTGCTTCCATATTGAGCATGGAGAAAGCCTATCAAGGAAAATCATGATCCCAGGGATAAATTTAAAATCACTTAAGATGTGCCCCAAAATAATTTCAAGTGACTGGAATGTTATAAAATCTACAATTTAATTTATACTAGCATAAGTGTCTAAGTAGAAAATCTCTAAATGTATAGGTTTGGTTTAACTTTGATTGAGCAGCCATGGAAAATGCTAATGTTAATCTTATTTCTCATTCAGTATTCAAGATCAGTGGACCCGGAAAAATATAAAAAATCATAAGGATGACCCAATTTGGAGACATACTGGCTATGTTATGGCACAAGTGGATGGGCTATACGTAGGAGCAAAGAGGAGGGCTCTGTCAGAAGGGAAAAAGGTAATTGGTACATTAATGCTGTATTCCTTCCATCTTCTTTTGATTCAATCTGTATTATTCAATATTTTGCCCATGTTGTTGTTGTTAGGTGCCATCTAGTTGGTACCGACTCATAGCAACCTTATGCCCAGTAGAACAAAACACTGTTTTAAGTCCTCTTCACTTTCAGCAAGCAAGGTTGTATCATCTGCACATCGCAGGTTGTTAATGAGTCTTCCTCCAGTCCAGATGCCACATTTTTCTTCATATAATCCAGCATCTCAGATTATTTGCTCAGCATACAGGTTGAATAAGTATGGTGAAAGAATACAACCTTGTTGCACACCTTTCTTAATTTTAAACCATCCATTGTTCCCAT